TTTACAAACAGCATTTATAACATTTTGATGATGGGCAAATATAATACACCTTTGCTTGCGTGCGAATAATTTAGAAATGTAATCACTGAAATATTATCAGATATTAGGATGTATTAGATATTAGAAAATATTCATTTATAAGAATATTTATTAAATAATAATGTTGTTTACCATACAGCTCCCTCTTTAGCAATACTAGATTCATTATAGTACATTAAAAGAGTCTGATGTCTTTCCATACCATTTAAATTTCGTTTTAATTTCGTAGACATTGCTTTCATTTGTTCAGTGCCAGCTTTTATTAGTTCCGTATCTAGCATAACAACTTGTCTAAAATTTTTTTTGTAAAATAAACATTTATATTTGTATAAACTCAAATATGTACTGTACTTATATATTGTTAAAATAATCTGATATAAATAAATACATTTTTTTCACCTTTTTTTTGTTGGTAATTGATTTAAAATCTCATTTTTTAATCTTCGAATTACGCAAGTCCGTTTTAATAACAATTGCAATTCTTGTGTATTTGATGATCCATTAAAGTTCCAACCAAATGAAGTTTTTTCTCCTGCACAATATCGAATTCCATATTCTTCATATCTGTATAAAAATAATTTTTATTTTTTCGCGTGCAAATTATATACAACGAATATTTTGCATTACCCCATAAAATTTGGCATTATAAGATTTATTTGAGAATATAATTCTATGGGTCTTGATAAAGCAGGTGTTCCAGATAGCAAAACAACGTGTCGTGCAGTCTTTGTTATACTTTGTGCAGCTTTAAACCTCGCAGTCTTTACACTTTTCAAAGCATGAGATTCATCCTATAGAAAAATTTATTTATTTTAATAAATTATCTATTTCTATCTAATTAATATATTGTTTTGCAACATACCAAAATAACAAAACCAAAAATTTTGCGTTCAAATGTATCTAGCGCCCGGACTAGGAGATCATATGTTATAATAATAATTTTACTGTTATCATAAAAATCTTTAGCATTTGCAAATTGGTAAATGTAATGTGCAGGTATAGATGGTAAAAATGTATGTATTGCTTCTTCCCATTGATATCTAAGTTTAAGAAATCAATTTTTATACTTGTTTGCATACAATGATTCGTATCTATTTAGCATAGTATTCTTTATTAAACCTGATTGAAGCGGGTACAACAATAAGGAGTGGCCAATTGTTTCTAAAATAATGTGCAATGCCTAATGCCTGAATGGTTTTCCCTAGACCCATATCATCAGCAATCATACAACGACCACTCCTAGATATTCCATAGCTAAAAATAAATAAATACTATTTTGTTAAAAAGAAAAGAATTCTTAAATATACATAAATTATATAAACATACCATATTCCTTCTCGTTGAAAGGGCATTAAATTTTCTACTAACTGAGGATCGATACTTGATAAATCATTTTCAGTAGAAGCATCATTTTTCTTGAATATCTATGAAAATGTCAAACATATAAATACATAAATAAATATATTTTATTCCTCAATATATAATACCTGAAGGACTGTGTTTGGTAATCCTATGATTTGTATGTCAGATTTGAAATTAATAGCTTTTTCCATCACTGTTTCATAGTCTTTTAAAAGAAAATTCCATTGTTTAGTGTTTATGTCTAAAATAAATATATGCAATAAATATTACTTTTATTTTATATTATTGAAATAATGTTATGTTGAGTATATGTAAAAATATGTTTTATATACCATATAATCTGCTTGGAATTGTTTTTATTGTTTCAACAAATGGAGCAAAATATGATGAGGTTTCTAACACAAATCTTTCATCAGTTATCATATAACATTTCACTGTAATGCAAGATTTCTCACCAAAAAACTTCTTTGTTGACATAGGACTAAATCGTCCTTTTTTTTTATTGAACTTATTATTATTTTTAAAGGAATTGTTTCTAAATCTTGCTTTATTGTCATCAACATATCTTAATGAACCTTGTCCAAAATTTTTTGAGATGTTGCTTGATATATTTTCATTAGCTGTAATATTATTATTAGTAAAAGAAACATTTTTTGTATTTGCATTAAAATTAAATGGAATGTTTCTCAATTGAGCTTGCTTTCTACGTTGTAAAGCTAATAGACGTTTCTTCTCTATCTCTTCTTTAGAATAACTCATTGCTGTAACATTATAAACTTCATTAGAAAACTTAATAAAAATTATTGACCTTTATATTGTAATTACAAACCTGATATATATGTATATATAAAATCTTTTTCTATAGGTCTTTTCTCTGTATTCAATGTGATTTTAAAGATAATAAATAAAACACTAACAACTTATACATTTCTTTTTATTTCATAATTTAACTTATATTGAATAACAACCTTGAAAATTTGTATGAGATGTATAAAGAAACATTAATACGCATTTCTTTGATAATATCATTGACTAATTAGCATAGACTTGACATCCAATACTTTTTCGTATTCAGGGTATCATATAATCTCATTTATCATTTTTGTATCACATCCTGTCATATCGACATTAGACAAGTATGCACTTCAGTTTGGACAGTGTTGCCGTTCCTTCATCGAAAATTATTTATCGAATTGAATCCGATGACACTTTATCACGTGCAATATACATATGTATGTACATACAATAATCATAATAAATAAATACGAATTTAGTAGACGTTTAAAATGTCAATTTTAATTTATAATCTAAGAAAAAATATTCTTTCAATTAACTTAATTAACTTAACAGATAGACTATTTCATAGGGATATCTAGATTGATAAGTGGGTCTGGTTGGTAATAACTAGAGAATTATTACAGAAAACATCGAAACTGACCTTTAAACAGAATATTTACTCAATTTAGTTTAATTAATATAATATATGTATATACTGTTCCTATTTAAAATCCATAATATTTCAAAATTATGAATCCTAGAAATCCCATAAAATTTGATAACGTGGCTTTATTTACTTTCCTTGATTTGACTCATTGGTCAAAATATATTTTCAGTAACTTTTGAAGATTTAGGTAACTTTTAGTGAATTTATATAAAAGAAGTATATAGGAGCATTCTTTAAAGTTGCTTGTGTATTTTTTTTTTAATGTTAATTTTTATTCTTATGATTAAAAAATCAATCTGTTGTTGAGAATATTTTTTAATTTTAACAATTTTAAGAATCGAATTCTTATGTCCCTGAAAATTTTGTTTCGAATGTTCAAAGCAATTTAATTTTTGACACAATATATGTACGTGTGTAATTCAGATGTCTTATAATATTTTATATACACGTATGTGTGCATATATAATTTAAATATATTTTTTTTTTTGTTCAATAGTCTGAATTATATATTTTCTATGAGTAATAGTTCTTTAATAGATACGATGTCAACGTCAAAGTCACCTGTAAACTGTACGTATTTTAGACTATAATTAAAATAGATATAAACATCAAATAATTCTTTCATTTCATATTTTAGCTGATGATCATGAATTCATCGTCCCAAAAAAATCGATCAAAGTACCATCTGATATGGCAATTTGGGAAAAGTCAGAAGCGTATTTTGTAAGAACTCGCATATCTTTTTTAATTCTATAGCTATGTATTTATTCTATATCTTTCAATAAATAAGAATATTCAATTGTATTTATTATATGAAAAAAATAATACAAGAATATTTTTGTAGGAATACTTAGGATTTATATTGGCCTTAAATGAATCAGTTCAAGGAAAAACTTTAAATGTTGAATGCACACAAAGCCCCATAATAGCAAATATTGTACAAATGCTTAATGAATTTGATGAATGGATAACACAAATACCTCCTACTGAACAGCCCCAACGTTTTGGTAATAAATCATTTAGAGTATGGCATGAAAAGTTACAACAGGTAAATATATATTATTTTTACATAAGCATCCTCAGAGTCTATTGATTTGTAATATTTTAGAATGGAATAATGGAATTACAAAAAGTGTTGCCAGAAAAATTGCACAGAGCAGTTCCAGAGATAGTTCAATATTTATACGAAAGTTTTGGCAATCCAACACGTATAGATTATGGTACTGGACATGAAATGGCATTTTTAATGTTTTTATGTTGTATGTTTAAAATTGGCGCTTTCACACAGGATGATAAAGTTGCTGTAGTTGTAAAAATATTTAACAGGTAGTTTAATTTGATATTTTTATATTAATATTTTGTGCAATTTCAGAAATTAAAATAGTTTTTGTTTTTTGTAAGATATCTGGAATTAGTACGTAGATTACAACTAACTTATCGGATGGAACCAGCAGGTAGTCATGGTGTGTGGAGCTTAGATGACTATCAGTTTGTCCCATTTATATGGGGGAGTGCTCAATTAATTGGTATCGGTTTTTTTATACTAACATTTTTAATTTTTTAATATAATCTAAAAATATACATAAATGTACATAAAAAATGACATAGAATATCATTCTTATCATTTAGGGCATTCTCGTATAGAACCTCGTCATTTCGTTGAACCAGATATCGTTCAAGCTTTTAGCAAGCAATATATGTTTCTTGGTTGTATTGAATTTATTTCAAAGGTTTGTACATGTATATAAGCATACATATACAATATTGTTAGACTTTTATATTTTAAAGACAAATATCATTTTAGGTAAAGATAGGTCCATTTGCTGAACATTCAAATCAGTTATGGAATGTTAGTGCAGTATCTTCATGGGTCAAAGTAAACAGTGGCCTTATCAAAATGTACAGAGCCGAGGTAAATATTATTGTTAACAATTCGTCATAAATTTATAATAATATAATAAATAAATAATAAATTTTTAAATACTAGGTTTTAGCAAAATTTCCTGTTATCCAACATGTTTTTTTTGGTTCTTTACTGTCAATAAAACCGGCGTCTATTCCTCCTGTTAAAAAACAATATCGAGATCAATCCCTACAACCACCACCGACTCAGTAATATTTTCCAAATATATTCATATTTGTTGTAACAAACATTTAATATTTATAATGAAAATTCTACATTGTAATTCTGTACTAAGTACTAAGTTTAAATTAACTTCTTGCAAATAATTGTATTATGTTGTTTTTATCCTATTGTATCAATTTGTAATTGTTATATCAATTTTTTCGTTGTTAAATTGTAAAGTACATGCATTTTAAGTATAAAATTTAATGCAACATGTGAGCCACATTAGGTAGTAATGTATTACTACATTTAATAATCATTTAAGATAATTTAGAAAATAGCTATTATACTATTTATTGTAAATAAAATTAATCATTAAGACATATAACGAACATTAATGCAACATGAGTACTTAATACATTATTTTTACTCACCTAGATAATAACGATTTATTTGTATAAACAGATCTAATCAATGTCCTCTTACATAAAAAATAAATATTATTTCACAAATATCAAACTGCTTTTCTAATTAAAAATACTTTAGTAGAATATAGAACTACTTAGTAGAATATAAAAATATGCAAAGTTATTTACTAGAAAATATTAGGATATTTATTATAAACAAAATGCATAAAATATTTATTATAGAAATAATATTTGTTCTGATAATATTTCCTATAAAATTGTGAAAAATCTAGTGGCTTTTATAGAAAAATATAGTGGCTTTTAGACAATGGATTTAATCAGACGATTTTAGTTAAAGTTGCTAACAATAAAGAAAAAGAAGATATTAATATTTTTGACTTACCAAACAAATCAAAAAGAGTTCGCAGATCTTTAATAGTAAAAAAATCAGCACCCACATTTCTACTAAATATTTACAAGAATATTTTAACGAATGATACAGATGAATCAAATCAAGAGACATAGAAAAACTTAATTTAAGCAATAATATTATTAATATCATCGATCAAAGTAATTCAATCATGACATTTAGTGCCCAGAACTCTCATTCAGGCAATCCATTTAAAATTAATTGTAGAAAAATTTGGTTTAATGTATCAGAAATATCAGAAAAGGAAAATATTATGACAGCAGAATTGCGACTATATCGAGATTTGGATAAAAATATTAAACCTAATGAGGCATATAACATAACAATATACAGGGTAGCTCGAGAAAAGCATGGAAAACAAATTAAACATTACATGAATTCAGTCAAAACTGCGATAAATAAAGGATGATGGATAAGTTTAAATATCAGTCAAGCTCTTAAACATTGAATTAAGTTTCCAGAACAAAAAATCAAGGCTTGTTTTTGTCAGTACATCATGTTGAATTCATGAATCGTATGTTAAATTATAGTTGTATTATAAAACCAAATGATATAGGAATTGTAGGTGTTTCTGGAATTCCAAATAAGCAACCCTTTATAGTAGCCTTTTTTAAAAGATTCATAATAATATTGCGTTAAAAAAATACTAATATATAGTTGTTGATAGCTGTGGTTGCTGGTAAATAGATTAACTAGTAATTTTTAATATAAACTGCTCATTTTTTCTTTTCGTAGAATATTGGAAATTTTTTAAATTGGTAATTAGTAAACACATTGTTTGGTATTTTAAAAAATATATATTTCATATAATATTTATAAGACAAAATATTATAACAATAATAAAATATGTATAAAACATTTATATAATTATATAATCTGACATAATTTAACAAATGTATGTAAATATTTTAATAAAGAATAAATGACATACTTAGAGTTTAGAACGTTTCATTCCTTGATTAACAATACCATTTGCTATTAAACTAGCAATTTTTTCAGGTTTAAAATCTAATTCAATAAGAATTTCTGTAGTATGCTCACCTAGTTCTGGATTCTGTTGATGTCCTTTGGATATTCCAGGAGTACGAGATAAACGAGGAGCGGGATTTGGTGTTATTAAACCATTATCTTCAATTTTAAACGTATTTCTTTCTTTGTTATGTGTATGTGATGCAGCATCTTTTAAATTTAAAACGGGTGTTACACAAGCATCTGAACCATCAAATATGGTACACCATTCTGCTTGAGTTTTTTGTTTAAATATCTTTTCTAATTTTTCACGACTTTCTTCAAAATTATCAAATTGTGGCACTTCATCTAATGCAATTCCAAGTTTTTTTAAAAATATCTCATAAAATTTAGATTCAATTGCTCCAACACACATATATTGTCCATCTTTTGTTTCATAAGTATCATAAAAATGTGTTCCAGAATCCAACCTGCTTACATGAAGCATTATCTAATTATTTATTTGTATGAAATAATATAAAAAGAAGGAATGAATAATTTAATTAAAAAATTCTCACATATTTTTACCACGGGGGTTTCCCCATAATGCATACATATTCCGAGATCTAAAAAACCAACTTCCTAAATATGCAGATCCATCTACCATTGATGCATCTATTATTTGACCAATATCACTTCTGTTACGTTCAAACAATGCTAGTACTATACCAAAAGCACACATTAATCCACCACCAGCAAAATCAGCTGCGAAATTAATTGGTGGTGTTGGTTTCTGATTATGACGCCCAAATAATGATAATAAACCTGAATATTATTAAAAGTAATTTAGAAAATATTTTGTATTTGAAATAAAATAAGTTAATATAAATATATTGTTTTTAAATTACCAGATAAAGCTAAAAAATTTATATCATGTCCAGCCATGTTAGCATAAGGTCCATTATGACCAAATCCTGTTAATCTAGCAAATATTAATCTGTTATTTGTTCTCATAAGTTCTTTTGGTCCCAGTTTTAATTTTTCCATCACTCCTATTTTAAATAATATAATACTAATATTACATCATAAAAATAATATATTTATCAAAGTATACAAACCAGGTCTATAAGGATCTATAAGTACATCACTTTGATTGCTCAATTTCTTAAATATATTTAAGCCTTCGTCAGTTTTTAAATTTAATGCAATTGATCTTTTCCCATGATCCAGAAAATCTGGATTGTAAAACCTACTTAACTATAAAAGCAGATAGTATTAGAACATTTATGTATGAATTTATAAAACAGGAAGAATTTATTATACCTTATCTACTTTAATAACAGAGGCACCAAATTCAGCTAATATCATTCCACAAAAAGGACCTGGTGCAAGCCCAGCTAATTCTAATACTTTTACACCTTTTAAAGGCATATTTGTAATGAACAATGGTATAATACAACACAGAATGAATTTATTAATTATTTCAACTCATAATGAATTTATTATTAATTATTTCAACACTATTAAAATAGTGGACTTTAACCTTTAGGCGTTATATTTTTAATCATTTTGAACTAAGTTTTATCAAAAAATACACAGATGGATATCAATTTTTTATTATGCTAAATATTTTGTATAAAAATTACATAAATGCGATAGTTAAAATAAAAAACATTTTTATAATATAAATAAACAATGTTTTTTTCTGATATTATATAATTGTTATGTATGCCATATATAATAAATACCAATAATAACAATATAAATAATTTAAAATATTTGTTTTAAAATATTTGAATTCATTTCAAATTTATAATTAAAGAGTAATTCTAGAATTCTTTTCAAATGTAATAATCTTACTGTTGGCATTAAACTTCCTAACACAAAGAAGTATATTGGTAACACTGACACGCAGTGTGCGGTATAAATATTATAATCTACAATAAAACAAATTGTATTATTGATTATAGACACATTCAAACAGAACATTATTAAAATGAATCCAACGGAACCTACTAGTACGGAAACTTTAAGGTAATTTCAGGAAATTATTTGAAATAAATATATTTGCGAGACAAACTGCGAGGCCGGTACACCGGGTTATGAATATTACTTTATTATTGTTAACAAATTGAAATTTTCAAATAGATTAAATATTCTTTACTCTTTAATTGTAATGATATTTTTAAATATTTTTTGTAATCTTACATGCATGTATATAATTTGCAATAAATTAATTAACAATATGTTGTTTAGTTCCAAAATGAAAGATGTTATTGATGTATTAGCTATGCAACGGGAGAAGAGGAATACCTTGCAAAAAAGTATCACAATTGATTACACAAAAAACAGCGATAGTTTTACAATTTCACGATTTATATTTGAATGTGGTAAACATATCGACTATCAAGTTTTATATTATAATAATATATTTTTGAAAAGCAATAATAACATTTGTAAATTACAGGTTTAAAATTAGAAGCTCATCCTCTGACTATTGCTACAGCTGCAACATTATATCATAGGTTTATAAAAGAAGCTGTTCCAGGAGGTTACGACAATTGTGTAAATAACTCATTTATAATGTTAATTAAAATTTCAAATATCCTTTTTTTCAAATATCTTTCATAATTGAAATTTATATAAATGATTTATATATGTTTTAGTTAATTGCTGCTACTTGTCTTTACTTAGCAGGGAAAGTAAAAGATGATAATTTAAAGATAAGAGATGTAATGAATGTCTCTTATAGCACATTACATAGAGGATCACAACCATTAGAGTTAGGTGATCAATATTGGAGTATGAGAGATGCAATTGTCCAAGCAGAACTCTTAATTATGCGTATGCTCAAGTTTCAAGTAACTCCTGTACATCCACACAAAGTAGGTACTAAATATAGTTAAATCATTAAACATAAAAAACAAATAATTGCGTTAAATAAAAAAATTTTATTTCAGTATATGTTGCATTACTTACGATCTCTGCAAGCATGGTTTGGAGAGGAAGAATGGTCTAAGTATCCAGTTGCAAAGACTAGCATGGCACTTTTACAAGATTTTCATCATTCTTCAGCTATACTTGATTATCCACCAAACTTAATAGCAATTGCTTGTATCAATTTGTCGTTACAAATTTATGGTGTAGTGGTGCCATTGATGGATGAATGTGACCAACAACCTTGGTTTAATGTAATAATTAAGAATATTTTTAAAAATTCATAACATAAAGATCAGGAACTAGTAAACTAGTAATTAAAAGTATAAGATAAAATTATGATTTTTTTCAGGTTTTCTGTAAAGATTTGACGAGAGATAAACTTTGGGAAATAATGGAAAAGGTTATGGCAGCATATGATGAAGAACCAGAAACTAGAGACAATTAAATGATTTCAGCATTATTTCAAGCTTATTCTATATTAACACAAATGTGGCGTTCTCTTAAATATGATATTGGAAAAGTACAAATATAAATCAGGATCATAAAATAAAATATTTCCAACTTTGCGTTTTGTATTTTTCTGTACCTTTAATATTTTTTTTAAATTAAAAGATAATTATATTTGAAATATAAAAAAGAATAATATTAAAAAAATGATGCGTGTTGTTTAATTTATCAATGAACAAATTTGATAATATTCATTATAAAATAAATATAAAATAAATTAGTAACTTCGTAATGAACATAAATAATATAACAGATATAAAATAAATTAGTAACTTCGTAATGAACATAAATAATAATAAATTTTTAAATTTTGAATATTTAAAAATTTTATTATTTAATAAGTCTTAAAGTATTTAAAAAAATTTTAAAAATTTCGAATATAAAAATTTTCAATGTTTTTTCAAATTTACACTTTATATAAAGTTTTGCAGTTCGAATTCGATGATATATAAAAGGGGGTGGATAATTCTTAATAAAATTTCAAATAATTAATAATCTGAAACTATATATATTTATAAAATTTATATTTACAGAATTGTTAAATATCTAAAGTTTATTAACAATACTGAATGTCATAAATTATAGAAAAATCATCTTACTGTACAATGAACTTTGAATTCTAATACGTGTGAAGTTAGGTGCTAGCAAATTAGTATTGTATAATCAAATGTGTATATAAGAAGTATAAGTGTATTATTATTATTTTCATTTGATATAACAAGAATCAGATATTTAATTGCTTTATTGATATAAATTCTAATGTCTATTTATATTTACATTAAGAAACAATAGATGAATGTTTGATTTACAAAAATGTCAAACGTTCACTGTTATTGTCCAGTGAATATTTTCCGTGTTTGTCAATGAGAAGTTCGAAATTGTTTTGTATAAGATTTCGATGAAGATTGTTAAACAAAATGACAACGATCGATCAAATGGATACATCTTTATCATTCATATTGAAACAAGAACAAGGAGAGTTTGAGGATATCGATGATGATAATATTAGTCTTGAGGATATTAACCATCTCCTGTCAATATCAATACCCTCACTTTCAACAAACAAGTTTCATATTCCCACCGATCCAAATGATGAGTTTCTTCGGTTATCTACTACGGCATGTTTCCTGTATAAAATCCAATATTCCAATAAAAATTTAAATACATCGAGTCATTTATAAATATTTGAATTTAACAATTTTTTTACAATTAATTAAATAGCAATCTATATTTGTAATGCATTTAATAGCTAAAAAGTTAATTTTGTTTCAGTTTAACGATTTATGTTGTATTACATTTATATTATAGGTTCGTGCTGTATATTTTTCATATCTTCATAAATGTTTACTTACTAATTACATCCTCTGTTATAAAGAGAAGGATGAAGAGATTCCGAGTAACCAATTGAAAATGTGTGCAAATCAAATGGAATTGCTTGCAGTACGATCATCTTTAGAAGCCTCTTTATATAGGCAAAATATATTGAAATTGGTAATTCTAATTCTAATTATTAAATATAATTTAATTTAATAGATTGATTAATAGTTGAAATTAAGATGTTTATAGATTTCAGATGTAAAATCACATACATTAGAAAAAAAGGCCTATAAAAAATTAGTGATATTTTTAGAAACTCCACCATCTAAAGTAGATATTGGAGTTCAAACAATTAATTCATGGGCGGAGTTACAAAAAGCAGACAATATTCAAAGTATTTGTATCACATCTAATTCTAAAGAGTTGCCCTCCATAAAAGAAACATCAAAATCTAAAAAAGAGAATGTAAATGTGAAAACTAAAGATTATGTAGATGATATATCCTCTCAATTAACTGTCTGTAATAATACAGCTTCACCCACTATCAATTCTACTAGTTTTAATGATATAGAACACAATAAAATTAATAATGAATCAGATGAAGAGACATGCTATAAAATGTTAGTAAATGAAGAAACAGTAAAAAAAGAACATAGCAATATTTTTAATTATATACAAGATAATTCTAATACTCAGATTGCAAATCAATTCAATATTCAGATGAATGATGAGAATTCACAGGATTCTCTTTTGCAACACATGGAAAATATGTTTTGCGATAGTGATGATAGTAGCGATCTTACGACATTAATCGAGAAACATTCAGGTGTTACTGAAGCTAATATGGATAAAGAAATTAATGCTCTTCTTCCATACAATTCTAATGGTTTTATTAAGACATATGAAAATAATGATATGAAGATAAATTCTGGTAAAAACACTAATATGAAAGCATCAAATACGAGGAAGTATAGTTTTAGTTATTATAAAGAAATGAAAAATAGAGAAAGTAATAAATTATTATCAGTAGAAAATGAGACACTGGAAAATAAGCAAAAACGAAGAATAAACAGTATTTGGTTTGTTGAACGTGTATATCAAGTATCAAAACTAAAGGCAAAGATGACAGAATTATCTTTAAAAAATTATAGAAAACATGGAAGAGTTAAAGAAAAATTTATTGAATTATTTGGAGAAACTGATGAGGAAATGATGCCAGATTCACCAATTTGTATAGAAGAACATTTAACGGCATGTAAGGAAAGAATAGCACCATGGATCGTAAAACACTTAATGCCATTCTACAAAAAACGAAGGATTAAAAATAGACAGCTTTTTAAAGTGGTTGCAAAGCATATAGCTGATATGCTTATTATTGAAAATACATTTCCTGGTTAGTATCTAATAAAATATATTATTAACATATTTGATAAAAGTATTTTTATATTCAGCATGTATTTTATTTCTATTTTCTAGAACAAGACTGTGTAAGTAAGTATATAGAAACATATTTCAAAAATAAAAAATTCATTAGAACTAAACAGGATGTGTACTTATAAACACATGTTACGTAATTGGATTTGTTATATATAGAAGAAATGTCACAAAATGTTTCATATAATATAAATTATCGATATTACATTTGTTTAAATTTCAAAGGTTCTAAGCTTGACATTAAACAAAGAGTGGAATTACATATTTTATTATAACGAAAATAAATACAATAGTATTTATGTATGTTAAATATGGAGTATATAAACATATTTAAAATGAATGAAGTATAAATAGAAAAGAACAATAATTTTGCGAATTTTTAATATTGAATTTTGAATTTGCAATGGTGCTTCTTTTTATGAAAAGTTTTATATACGTCTTGAAAATAAGTTCTATTAAAATTTTCTTATTTAAATGTTAGAACTTTAAAAATGATATTTAAGTGACAGTCTTAATCTTTGTTTTTTATTATTTATATTAATATACAATTTTTCGTATGTACATGTGTATTTGTATATACACGTAAATATATTTATTTTATATTAAGAAGAAAAGGAAAATATATTTAATAAAAGCATCATTGTAATACAAACTATAATTTAAATGAAACACTGTAAAATAGTTTAATTTATACCCTGTACATAGTCCCTTTAATAATTATAAACATTCAAAATGTGTTGCTTCTAATGTAAGTTTAGAAATATAAATATAAAAACACAATGTACAAATTATTAATTTTACTTTTATATTCAACACAGAAGTAACATTATTCCTGCATCCTATTCTCACAATAAAATAAGGAGTATAACAAGGAGATTCAAAACGTTTTAGTTATATATATATATTTTATCATTAATAAACAAAGATTCAAGTTTAGTAAATTTTAGATTTTTAACAGTATTTCTTATGCAGAAAATATCAAATTATAAACAATTTTTAAGAGGTTTACCTCTGTTCTAAAATCAATTTATCTTATCATTTATTTGCAGTAGCACTGTTTACAAATAAACTTATTGCTATTTACGAGTTATCCAATAGAAAACAATGTAGTAAAGTATTAAATATTAAATTTATTTTACTACATTGATACTATCCATATACAAAAAATTGATAAAGCTATTATTTAAAAAAGTCAAATTTTCATTATATTTTCTATTGAACAACTTGTAAATAAACAGCTTTCATCTTAATATTTTATTTTTTAAGCCATATTTTAAAATCCATAATTTCGCATGTTTATATATTAATTGAACTGTTGTATATAATATTGCAATTTTTGAAAATAAAAAATGTCATTTTATAAGTTTTTGATCGAAACCGGCATAATTATAACATTATCAAAAGAGAAAAATAATAAAAAGAAAAAAACTTTATTAATTATATTATTTTTTTCTATCACTGATAATGATATGAATAATAAGATCCTTCCAAATATTTTATTGTGTGTTCGAAACACAACAATCTCTGAAAAACAAGTTCTAATTCAACATCACAGTGAAAAGCTCGATTAAATATTGCATAAATATAGAAGGATCTTAGTAAGTAAATTTAACTTAAAGATTTAAAATAACCTTTCAAATATAACTTTATACATTCAAGGTGGAGAGGGAGGAAAATATATGTACTTGCAATAAATCTTATTATAACTTATGTATTACGTATTTTTCCAGGTACGTAGTTCTTGTCTATTACAGGTTCTTGCAAAAACATATGTAAACATCTTTCATTCTGTGCTAGTGGATGTCCTGCTATTCTGAAATATCATGTAAGATTTTTGCTTTAATTCAACTAATATTTTTATGTGCTAAACATGAATGAAATGTATATTTAACTCAATGTATACTTACTTATTAACAAATGCTTCTAGACCTTTCCTCCGATCTTCAATAAAATCTTCTTCAAAAATACCATCATCTCCTCGAAAAGGCATTTGACGTTTCCAAGCCTTTCCTGGCAATGGAGGCACAACTATCTATAAATTTAACAAGCGTTTCTTATTTACCAGTATAGTCCTTTTAATAAAAAACAAAAAATAGTTTTTCTGATACTATTATGAGATATCATTCGTTTAATGGAATTTAACTTTTATTTTTATTTGTTTTACATATACTTTATCAGCTGACCTTGCTATCTCTTTCTAATTCGGTCCTCAACCATTCAAAATCGCTATATCTTCTCCTCACTGTGGAATCTTTCACTTTAAAAACTGGTAAATTTGTCTGAAATGAAATTTTTTTTTTATTATTAGCATTTATTGTATAATACAATTTATTTATTATTAGCATTTGTAGTATAATACAATTTATTTATTATTAGCATTTGTAGTATAATACAAAAAAAAAGGAATGTAATATAACATTTATATTTAATTATATTTTAAAAAACAAGAAGAGAATAATGATGTTTTAAGAATAAATTCAATATAAATTTTTTAAAAAATTTGCTCATATATATTATTATCTTTTAAATTTTGAAATATAATTCATACATGATATTAATTTAAGGTTTCTGACTCCAGAAACAACATACATATTTTTATATCTGCTCAATTTTATCATTAACAGTAAGATAGCAGACACAGCCCACGATAGATTTGGTTAACGTCCATAATTAAATTAATATAATTCCAATAACACCATCGTTGTTATTTTCATGCCAAAAGACGAAACTACGCGAATTAAATATATTAAAAACATTTGAACAATGTTATGATAAATCTTTATAAATAATTAAACAAGATTTTGCAACACCATAAGCTTCCCTCATAGAGAATATCATGAATTGCAGAAAAAACTTGTTTAATTCATTAAATTACAAACGAATAGAAAACAATCGAAATTAGAGATCTACGAAGTTTGCATATTCAAATAAAAATACGCTATCTTATGTATCGAAATTGTAAAAGAAAAGAAGTGATATTTAGAGTGGAAAGTGGAAGAGTGGAAAAAACGTTCAGTTTGGTTCACTGACGGACAAAGAATGAAACTGTATAAAATAAAACAAAAGGAGTCTGTCACTCACCCTCATGCGAACTTCGTAATCGGTGTATCGTTTCTTGCCGACGCCGTGCGTGATTGGATTAATCACGTCAATTTCGAGAAAATTTGCAGGCGCGGCATAAGCATCGTCTAGCGTTTGTTTCTTGACATTTAAACGACGTGTAGCGTCCACTGTCGTATCCGCCATGCCTTTTTCGACAGTGCAATTAATTAAAAACCGCTTCGAGACCACCTGGAAAACACAAATCCGACACAGTGGACAACGAAAGTTCGTCAAATGACAGCGGTGAGAAACTTGACACAATTTGTTCTCATGTGTTGCGCCTGTGGTCATAGTCACGAAAAAATGGACGTAGATAGGAAACCTACAACCGAATGAGATGTCTGTTAAATATCATTAACGAATAACGTTACGTTTATATTTGAAAATATTCGGTTATTCTTTTCAGAACCGATAACTTTTTACATGACGGAAGTATGTATTTTTATTTATTTAGAAATGTTTAAATAAATTCATTAAGGCCTAGAACTAGAGTAAATAAAATAGAACTAGAGTAAATAAAAAACTTAATCTAATGTAATCGTTTTGGTAAGTTTTGAACATTAAATATTAAATATAATTAAATATTGAATATTATAACAATTAAATATTGTATGTTTCAGATACGAATTAACGTCTGACTGAAATTTTATTAACGAATTTTTGATGTTTCTGAGTGGCATTGAATTAAAAACAGTATCTGTTTGAACGTTTTATTATTTAATAGAAACTAAGAAAAAAAATTGAGTTTTCTGAACAACCCAGTAATTAAAAAGCTGGAATAAAGTACCAAGGATAAAGAAGAAAATATATACAAATGTATTTGACTAGTTGAAGTTAAATTATGAAGTCGGGACTTTCATATCCTTCAATTACAACAAAAGTAGCGCTTACGAAGAAGCGCCTAAGAATTTTGAAATTCTTTTATGAGAGTTTTAAAAGCTAAAATAAATGAAATCTACAAAATTAACATTAAGACATTAAACTGATTATCTTTTATGATATCATTTTACATTTTTTTCAGGAAAAGTAAAAAAAAATACGTCGATCGTGGTCGAAAGGATAAAGATAACCTTGAAATATTTGAAATATCTTCATTTCCGGGTGGGTGATAATTCAAAACTATTCAATTTTACTTCATGATATTTTTATTAGCTATCGTTTAAAGGACAATGATTTCGTCCAGTTGCAAGAAAGATATTGTAGCGTACATGATAATTTTTTATAACAAATCTGACGTTAATCGAAGTATAATTAGTCCATTAGGACGTGAAGCAACGAAATCGTTGAAAGACAAAAATAAACAAAAGTGCAAATTAAAATTAATTGGAAAAGAGTTTCTATAATTTGAAAGAAACTATTTTCGTATTTTAGTTTCTTTTTAAAAATTTTATTGAATCGTAAAAGGTAGACAAAGTAGGTGGAAAAAAAAAAAACATTTGATTCGTCAATTCTTTGAGATTGTTTTTGATTACAATGATAAAACGCAAGATTCAATTATATAAATTAACTGAAGGATTGTAAATGAGATGTTGCATTAACATAATATTGGTTCTTGAATTAAGAATTAACAATTGGCCGGAGTTAGTGGACAATGGATATTGTAAAAGAAAGATCTTTAAAATAATATTGTACAAAACAAACTTATTATTCTCAACACAGTTACACATGCGTCATATCTAACAAACTTTTCTCCGAGGCAATAATATAACATTTTGATTATTTTACCATGTACAGGTAATCGATACGAACAAGTTACTTCATACTATGAGATGTGAAACATTCGCAGTGTATGCAGCGGGCGACAATCTGATATCATCTGAACGTGGAATTGGTCGTTGACGGATGTCACTGTCTCCTGGCCATGCTCGACCAGGACTTCGCGGCGTCACGTTCGATCTAGCTACTGTATCGACCGCTAAACTCACGGTCGTAGGATCGTTAAGGCCGTTACTTTGAATTCTTCGTTGAGCGGCTATCGAAGCTCGTAGAGTCTTTCGTTTCTGCATTTTAAAAATCGAAAAGATTAAAATTAGACAAATATAATGGAAATGTCTTGGAGCAAAGTTGCATTCATCTTATTACTTTGGCTAATTCTATTGGACTTGTATTGCAATAACTGTGGCATCTCGTTAGCTGGCTATCGTTATTTTTACCTGTTCTTAGAATTAAGTTATTAGCAGAAGGAGTTTTTAATGTCACGTTATATAAAATGAACAAATGGTTAGATAACTGCTAATAGCGAAGAGAAATTAGTGGGACTAGAATTATATTCATCTCGATAATACGAGATGAGATCTCATAGCCAGTTAGCGAAGCACTACTTATGTACAAATCGTATTTAAAAATTAGCTATAATGATTAGATTGCGGATTTTTATGCGTTTTGATGTAAAAATTAGATATGGTGGATGTTTTGGGAATTTTTACTTAGATTTCATTTCCTTAGTTGCGCTCATGAATTTGTGTAAATATTTGCAGTCTAGTAATGACATTTTACATATCTAATGCACTGTAAGAGCTAGAGGTCCATTTTTCTTATATGTATATATATATATTTTTTTTTTTTGCAGGAAAGGAATAAATGGTATTTGAAGCGTATCATTACCGATAGAGTGAAGCTAACTGTATAAATATTTGATGCGGTATAAAAGCAGCAATTTTAGTGTAAAATGCAACGAAATACCTTTCCTGTCGTATTTTACACTATCCTTATAAAAAATGCAAAGTCGAATCTTACTGCTTTAAGCTTGCAAAGCTTATGAACTTTTGTGTGCTTTAATCTAGAATGTTCGTGTTCATTTGACGATCAATGTTCTTTTAGATATCGTTACTGAAGTCTGTTAGAATTCCTGCGTTGCTCCCCTACTTTGTCCTGGCTGCTTGAAATTTACTAACAAACACAGAATTCTGAGGAAAGAGCAACAAAAAACATCGGACGGGAAAAGAAATTCGATTCCAGTTGAAAATTTATGATCAAGTTTACCTCAATTGCACCTCTCCATTTGTCAGCTGCGTGCCTCGCTAGTTCCATCTTCTTTTGCTTGCGAATCTGATGCTTCTTGTACGCTACTTCAATGATTATCAGCCCAATACCACCTATGATTCCAACACCCACCACTATAAATACTCCAGCCATATTTTTTAAGCCCAAAGTATTCGGAGCTTTCTCAAGTTGCTCGCATTGTTGTACGTTACTACGAAGGATCCAATGATTGTCGAGACTTTCCATGAAGCCACCTAATAAATGCAATAAATCAATATGATATATTGCATATATCAATATGATATAACATTCTTATTATTATTATTTTCATTGCTAAGTTTCAATTACTTTACATTCTAGGTAAATAATTTTCTGATTCTTACTCTCGTGGAAATCCAAGATAGCAAGGGTCACAGCATCTGCCCATAAGGAACCTTTTTGCAAGCCAATTCCATAACCGGAACGGCCAAATAGTTCTCCAGCAGTTACCAATTCGCAATCCTGAGCAGCCTCGAATTCTAATCGAGAACTATCCCAGATAAAAGCCATAAGTTTGCTGCAAATATAGTATTGTTCTTCGAATCGTAAATCTAATTTGATAAATTTCACGGTAATCAAAATTTCATCCTCTGTCTATATGTTCTTACCCAATTTTTATATCTCTGATGGCTTCTTCGGCAGTGTCGTAATTATTTGCTTCCATTGTACGATACATATTGGATAATTCAACTTGTCGACGGAAATACATGTCCACAGCGGAACCTTTCACTGTGGCACACGTAAGGTTCTCCATGGTGTTTCTAAGCTGTAAATGATGTTTTTTAGATAATGCAATATTTTTATTATCTAAAATCGATATGGATGTTGTAGCAAGATAACAGTAGAGGTGATTGATATATACATATGCACATATATGTTTGTATATATTGTTCCAAAAGGCAATACATATTATAATTACGATCGCATTGTTATTATCACAGATTATAAATTTTTTTCTAATCTGTAATATTTTTTTAATTTTAAAGAAAAGAAAAAGTCTAAAGAGATACAAACGTGATAAAAATATAATCAATAATTATAACATCTATATAATATAGATTTTGTGATGTTAGTAAAGATACAAAAACTAATATTAGTTTTATAGTTTATCAATTTTTTTCTTACTCGAGCATCGTTGATGCCAGTTAATTTAGTTTTCGGCCGTTCCAACACGAGGAATGCAGCCAAATTGGCAGTATAAGAAGCAACGATGATCATTGCAAAGCCTGCCCACACCATGCCCAAAACTCGAGCAGAAAAACTCCGTGGAGTACCTGTTAAAGTAGTTTCGTTTATCCATAATATTTATAAAACTCGATAAAATCCTCATTTATTGAAGTGGAACTTTTTTATACATAGCTTCATTTCCGTTCACGAGTGATCGATTTAATTACACTTCAGTTGTTAAAAGAATGTTACATGGAGATTGCTATAAATATTTTAAAGTTCAATGTTCACAATCGTTAATGTCCACGTATTTTCTAAAGCAATAACTTTTATGAAATTTAATTTTTGCATTGTTTGAATCAAGTATCTCCTTTATTATTTTATGGAAAGATATCGAACCTTCTCCGATTCCACTGTTGAGGAGAACTCCCCAAGCGAACCAGACGGCGCTGGACAGATTCAAAGCGTCCTCTTCGGTACCGTCAGTGTTTGCTAGCTTGAACCTCCCGAAAGGCGAGAACCGGTCGAGGAGGTACAAAACTAGAGCCACTACGTGCACCGACACCATCACCAGTATCCACAGGGTGTTGCTGAACGGTTGCAGGAACGACACTAATGTTGATGATCTTGATGGCTATAAATACAAAAATTCTTTTTACAATTTTACATCTTGGCCAGTAATTCCAATTTTCACTAACTGTTAGCTGTCAACTATGATTCATTGTAATTTTAAAGTAAATAAATATTATAATAATAATTATATAATTTTTAATTATTCTATAATATGATATAATTATTTATAAACAAATGAATCGTACTTTCTTCTCAAGAATGGTGATGCCCTGATACTTAAATGGCTTACTGAACTCGATGAACTCGGCACGTTCCGGATTAATCGTCAAAGGAGCAACGATCATATCTGCTCTTTCATTCACCAGTTCTCCGATAAGTCCTGTCCACTCTTTCTTTCCACCGACTGAAAAAAGAAGTTCATCGATTAAATATAAATATCTTGGTTTTCGTGCTCGGAATGCGTTCTCATCGAAACGAGATCTTACATCTACAACTGTTCTACCATGGTACTACTTGTCGCACCTGAAGTGTCCTTGATCACATAGCTGCCAAATTGTCCATCGGGAGACAAGGCCAAACTATAGGTGAAATTAATGGTCTTTGACAATTCCTTCAACAAATCCATACAGTATCCCTTGCAACAATACGTTTTTGTGGCTGTAAATATTTAAAGATTTCATTGTATACAATGTGCGTAAATATGTGTACATTATATACACGTTATGTGATATTTAGCAAATTCTTACTTTCATTTTCGCTAACATTAAAATGGGGACATGGAATCTCTTCTGGAAGACATAATTCGCCGTACGCGACCTCGCGAACGTAGACAAATGGCTTTTCTTCGATAGTAAGCACTTTTAAGTGCGTAGGGATCATGAAACCTTCGGGTTTAGTTTGCAGTCGGCCGGGCCATATTATGCTCGATTCGTTGACACTTAATGTCATTTTAGTGCCATTCTAAAATATAACATGATTTTCAATACTGGAGAAATAGCGATACGTCTTCAAAAATTTTTTTAATTAATTAAAGAATAACTAACAGTTTTAATATGTAATATATATAATTTTGCTCTCTCACTTACAGCTGGATAAAAATACTGTCCAACAGAGATCCTTTCACCGTTCTCTTGGATGTTGATGATGTCATATTCAGCATAAATGCGATCCCCGTTGTCGTCGAATGCTACTTTACCAGTAGTACCATCTGATAACACCTCTTTGCGGATGAATCTAAAGCAGAATGAACGAATGAAGCAAAATATTATCTAATTTACACGAATGAGAACGCGCAAGAAGTAAACAAATACTCGAAAAGGCTCTTGCCGGTTTCCCATATGGAGCCGGAATCGCCGCAATCCTTTGGCGCCTCCGTAATCACTTTCGTCTTGTTCATCTCCCGCAAAGCGGATACAAGCACTATCCTGAAATATATATATTCTGTTAGATGATAAAGCCGCGGTGTCTGTTACACGTCATAAAGATTGGAAAGTTCGAAGTGAAACTTGAGGTATTAATCGAGTAATCTTCAAATTGTAATCGATCTCGTGAATGACACGAGGCTACCATTTTCATCAAGGCCATTTGTTTACTTCGTTAACTACTAATCATGTTTATCTGAAATGGTTAAGTAGGTTGTTTCACACAGAGAGAAACAGAGCAACGTTACTCGTACACACATATCCTAAACGTTCAAAGCATGTTCAGTGTTTCGCTGAACAATACAGAATATCCATTGGACAGATTGGAGGGTGTGCTAAGAGAGTATGTGATCCAGTGATCTGAAATCAGTTGTACATTGCCGTGAAATCAAGATGCGTGTTTTCCTGTGCGTTGCATGCAATCGTACAAATTCTACATCAGAGAAAGTTTGAATGAAGAAAGACAGTGAAGAAAGATAGTTTGTTCTCTTTTCTTTTTCTTGTGAGTATTGTCAAGATGTCCATTCATTTGTTCTAAACCGTAAGTCTTCTCATGCGTAGGTATCGTGTGTCCTTCTGTTCGTATTTTTTCGTTTCTAGGTCTTTTCAGTAGTAAGATAACGAAACTACAGACGCAACATACATGCGTGGATGTTTATACATGATTAGAAAGGAACTGACAGGCTGTCTTCGATGTGAGCCTTCTCTTTCTCTGCGTTAATTAATTTCAAGCCGAGAAGACCTTCCGGTGCGTTCGGCGCATCTAAGGCTTGCTCCGTCACAATCCAGACGTATCCTGCACCGGTCATATTTAACTCTGCTGCGTCTTGGAAGATCACGCTTGCATCCGTTTTTCTGTTGAAGAGTGAAAAAAATTTCCATTCAACGTTTGTCCAGTTTGGATAATGAAACTTTAGTGATAGCTTCACATTTTGTTTATATTATAGCGATTTATCTGTTACAATTATTTAACATAATTTTATTAGATTTTTGTTACATAAATAAAAAAATAATAAAACAATTTATACTTACGAGGCATACAAAAGACATACTCTGGCTTGCGCAGTCTTCATGTCCATCAACTGTTGCGTGAAACTATCTAAACCAGGTTCGAATTCGATCACAGATTCTACCTGTTTTAAATCCGTCATAATTCCATTAAAAACTTGCAAATAAATTACTCCCACAGATTTTTTTTTTTTTAGCAAGGTCGGAACATTTCATTTCATTCGTTGAATATACCTGGACTTTAATTTCAACATCATCTTCCAAATTCTGAGAAGTCGTTTGAAATCTTCCAAGCAACGCTCGACCGTCTGTATCTGAACTATGGATGAAGATCACTTTCATATAGTTGAAGTGTTTCAATAGCTCAACCCATACGTCTGCTTGATGCGAGTACGGTGGGACCGTTCTTAGAAAAGAAACGTGAATATTCTGAAAGAATACATTATGTCACATATACTGTACAGATATTTAATGTAACACGTAATACGGATAATATGACATTGACGTAATAAGTATAACAGATAATCTTATTTGCACAAATCTTCCAACGAACTGCAATTTAACATATTTACTGCTGATTGGATTTTCATTATTCATACTTCACGCTAACAAGCAACTCTAACAACGAAGCCTATTTTTCTAATACGAAATTATAAATATTATGTAGCCTATTACATTATCAGTATCAGAGATTTTCATTAAATTTGTTAATTTAGACTCACCTTGTCGGAGAACGCGGAATCTCTTGAAGATATACCTATAACTGGTATATGATAAAATCCACTTGTATAAGACACAGCGGCTGGTGACAAGTCGCCTGTAAGGGGATGAGAGACTACCACCGCGTACACTTGTTCCGCTATCAAAGAGTTGCACACGCTCAAAGCGGTCTTAATTGGATTGGAGTCCATTTCAATTACCGTGTGCTTATAAGTCACTCCCTTATTGACATATTGTGAGTTGAAGTTCAAATTCTGGAAAATCAGGTCAAGTGCAAAATTAATGACGACTGAGTGTTTGCTTGAAAAATACGACCCTGTGACTAATTGTCCAATGTTTCGTTAGATAAAACAACTGAATTCTAATTTGCATGATAACTTACCTCACAAAGATGGAATTTTATTAAAAGATCAATTGAATTGAACTGAACTAGATTTTAAGAAACTATTAATGTAAAAAATAGATTTCAGACGATATAATGAACTCTGTTTCAAATGGAAATAATTAATCTTAACAGGATTTCCGTTGAATATTACTTACGTTCAACGTTCGTTTGAAATATTCTTTGCTTTCATTGTTAGAAAAAACGCCGCCGATCATAAAGAAAGTGGGATTGTTGAATTGGCTCGCGACGAGTCCATTGTAGACTTCGTCGTTCAGGACAATTAACGAAATGAACAATGCGACACCTTCGTATTTCATTATTAGAGAACTCGATCTAAAAAGAAATCTGGATTTTTAAAATGGATAGATACAGAGGTGATGCACAATGAATTATAAAAATTGTGTCTATTTTCAATAATTATA